TGATTGCAAATGTTGCAGATAGTAAGAGTTGCCACTGACTTTTCTTTTATCCAAAAGGAAAGGTGAAAAAGCACAGGAAAGACCTTTAGAGATGTTTTCTTGAGTTCGAGGGATAGATTATGAAAAGGGGAGGTATTAGCACCCTTTTGATCCATGGTTTTCCATGGGCTCTTAGTTACTTGCTAGATCACTTGCTTTTGTTTGAATGTGCTTGTGGTTTCGGTTTTGAAAGTATTTTTAAAATGTCTTTGTAATGGTTCTCGTTTCTATAAGAACGTATACAAAGTGTTATTTCGAAGATAGTTCAAAGAAGTCTTGATGGATTGTGTTTTTGAAAGTGATTTTGAGAAGGTGTCTCTTTGTAATGGTTCTCGTCTCTATAAGAACGCGTACAAAGGGTTGTCTTTTGAAAAATGATTCAAAATGCGAGTGTTGGTGTGTAAAATGTTTTTGTTGTGAGCAACCGAGCAACTAGGAGCGAATCTACTTACTCGAAATGTATTAGATGTTCTTTTCCTCCTCCTTTAGATGTTGCTATCTCACCATTGTTTTGGTAAGAAGCCCCATCGTTGTATGTGAAGGGACGGGCGCGGGACATTCGCATAGTCATAGAAGGCAACCTATGAGACATTTTAGCAATGTCGTTTTAGGGACTAGATCGTTTACCGAAGGCAACATTGAGGGTCATCGAGAGACTACGATCTTTTATAGAGGGTCTTTGCTAAAACACCCATGTTTGAGGGATATGACTATTTTCCGATAGGCAATAAAATGGGATTATCTAAAGGGTGCATGTGTGAATAGTGTGTTTGATTGCATGCATTTTAGTCTTTGATTTTTAGGTTGTCTATTTATTGTTTTTATCTTACCATGCACACCCTAATTACTAGCAATATATGAAAGCAATAAAAGTGTGGGAAAAGTAAAGTCCTACACTATTACATCATTAAGGAGAGGGGGGTATAAATTTATGAATGGGGGGTTATAATAAATTAAATTCTATTTAACTATTACAACCATATTGAAATAGTACAATGCAAGAAAGAAAAAGGATTTGTTTTGAAAATGTTTTTTTGTCTTAACGAAATAAATAAAAAAAAGAAATAAATTAACTAAAAAAGGGAATATTTTTTATGTCTGTTTTTCTTATATTAACAAAAAAAAGCATGTTAATGTTAAAAATGATAAAAAGGAAAATAACGAGAGAAAAGAATCAGCATGTCGTTGAAAGCAAAGCAACGGGGATCAAAAGTTCTGAGTTGATACACTCTGAGATCCTGCAAGAAACATTAGAGGGAAAACACAGAAGTTCTGAATGTGAGAGCAGTGAGAAAATCTTATAAGCTATGTACGTGTTTAAACAGTGAGAAGAACTCAGAAATTTTATATTGTGCTAAGACTGTGAGTGAATATCAGAAGTTCAGCGTGTGTTAACAGCAAGTGAAAATCAGAAGTTCTAGGTGTTAAAATAATGAGTGGAACCATCAGAAATTCAGTGTGTTTAACATTAAGGAAACCTCAAAAGTTCTGTGTTGTGCTAAAACATTGAGTGAAAATCAGAAGTTCAGCGTGTGTTAACAGCAAGTGAAAATCAGAAGTTCTAGGTGTTAAAACATTAAGGAGACCTCAGAAGTTATGTGTTGTGCTAAAAAAGTGAGTGAAAATCAGAAGTTCGGCGTGTGTTAATAGAGAGTGAAAATCATAATTTCTAGGTGTTAAAACAGTGAGTGGAAACATCAGAAGTTCAATGTGTTTAACATTAAGGAGACCTCAGAAGTTCTATGTTGTGCTAAAACAGTGAGTGAAAATTAAAGGTCCTGTGCCACATTTCAACGCTTTTCTCATATTAATCAGCACATCAACAATCTATTCAGTTCTTAATAAACAGAAAATTAGAAGGGTAAAAGCACAACAGTTCATAGAAGTTCTAATCCTAAATCTGAGTCTACCCCTAATCAAGAAGTTCTGATCCGTAGTTTTTCTACTTATGCCATGATATGGACAACATTAATACTGTGATGTTTACATATTTTAATGATATTCTAAATGAAAATATGCAAAGTCAGAAAGACTTACCTTGAACCTAGAGCGTATGCTTGGAACTTGAACTGCTACCTTCAAATGTTCTGGAGTCAGCAAGAACAACATAAGAGAAAATGCTAAGTTCTTGATTCAAAGGGAAGAACAAAGGTTTGGTTTTCTATTTGGGAATTCTGGATTTTTTACGAAGGTTTCACAGTTTTCTTTCCTCTCTTTTGATGATTCTCTCTCTCTCTCCAAACTCCATCCCCTTGAACGTGTGATGGAGCCAATTATTTATAGACGAGTTTGTTGTGGTTTTGAGGGGAAAAACAAATGGGATTTAAACCCTTTTGGTATATTGTTCCATCGCTTTTTAATCACAGTTTTTGTATGCTAATTTGGTGCAAATATAGGGTTTGAGAAAAATGTAGGCATGGACTAGATCAGCAACAATTTAGAATGTTGTGGCAGCTGGTTGCAGGACTGTGCTATAGCAGTACAACAGGTTGTTCAAATAAGGTTTTGGGGATTTGTGCTGTTTTGATCGAAGAAGACCAAAATGAAACTCGAAGGGTGATGCTCTGATCGAAGCATATGCTGAAGAGTCATGTTCTGATTGAAGAACGATGTTCTGAACCATGTTTGCAACTTCTGATTACACTTGCGTGGATGCTGACTTAGAAGTTCTGAAGTGTCATATTCTCTTAACACTTAGAAAATTTTCTAAATGTTTAGAAATTTGATTTTTTTCAAAGTAATTTCTGAATTCTGATTTTTGATGAACCAATTTCATATCTTGATGAAATATAATTGTTGAAACTTGATTTTTGATCTAAAAGTCAAAGTATGACTTTTCAGTGTGCTTTTGACCATTTTGCCCTCTTGAATGATTTTCTTGAAAAGTTGTAATTCAAGACTTGAAACTTGATAGAACTAAACCTGAGGGTTCAGGACGATCCTTTGAGAAATGAGAGGGAAAATTTCGGGGTACAACAACACCATTGTGTGCCCGTGTGGGTTAGAAGCAAGATTTGGCTTCTTTGCTCCCAACACTGTTAATTCAGGGTTAATTGTAACGAGACCATATGATGTCATAGCATATGTACTCGGTTTATTCGTGGCCAACAAAGATACTGAAAAGTTGTTCTTTTTTCCATATAATACTCGCAACGGGTTAGATTTTCATCCTAACTTAATCTATTATAATTTTCTGTTTTTAGCCATTGTTTAATCTTTGTTTAATCTTACAGTGGACACTGGTTATTGATTGTGATTAATCCTATGAGAGAAACAGTGTATTATCTGGATTCGTTATACACTGATTGGTCAACATATCCATATTTGAAGCAGATGATTGACACGTAAGTTTTTCGCTCTCAAAGAGATATTCAAGTTTATGTTTATGTTTATGGTCAACATATCTGGATTTGTGTTTATGTTTATGTTTCTATGTGAGATTGTTCTAAACAATCGTTTATATTTTATTATAGCGTTCTACTAGCTTTTCGCTCCCAAAGAGATATTCAAGTGCCAAAAAGTAGAGCCAACAATGTTACATGGATCAGAGTGGAGGTATATTTTCAGAAAGAGATATTCAGTTTTGATTACATTAATGATGATACTTGATAAAACAATTTAAGGGATATATCCTGATATATATTCGTATTTTCTTTCCATGTGTAGTTTCCTCGCCAGCGTAACGGTATAGATTGCGGCTATTTTATGTTGAGGTTTATGAAAGAAACTATTCTTCTGGATCGATTAGAGATTCCATCCACGGTATGGATTTTTAACTTAGGAATTACATACTATTTTCATATTTTGTGTTTCTCATAAAATGACATATTGTTTTAACTAAACCGCATACTATGTTATATTATTATATATGTAGTACTTTGAGGAATTCAATTGTGCACATTACTCAAAAGATCAATTGGATGAACTTATGAAGGAATGGTGTCAATTCATTATCGGGTTGAGAATTTTATAAGCTAAGGTATATTGTCTTATTTCCTTTGATGAGAACTTTCGAGTTTTGAGTATAAATTAAATTCGAATAAAGTGCAACGTTAATATTATCATGTCATGAATTTCGATCATTTGGTTTTTTCCCCATGTTTATAGGTGCCTGTGTAGAAGATAGAGCTAAGATATTCATGTTGTTGTTGTTTTATGAGAATTCTCGAAGTTAGTAAGATGTACTTATGTAACATCAATTTTGAATTTTAGGATTTTTAACTTGTAGAATTTTAACCTGTATCATAAATTTTATAGTTGTTGTTGTATATATCATCAATTTATATATGTGTAATTTTTATATATGCATATTTTATTGGAATGAAGCTACCAAATATGGTGCATAATATGGTGAAAACTCGGTTCAAATATGGTTAAAATTCTGATTAAAATGTATTATATATATTGGACATCGCTTTTGTAAGTCAAAATAGGTATTTTATTAAAAAAATATTATGACCAATAGACAGCGCTTTAAGAGAAAAGTACTGTAAAAACTAAAAAATAAGCGCTGCCTAAAGTGGGAAAGCGTTGTATAAAGTGGGGGAATAGACAGTGTTTTTAAAGGAAAGCACTGTCTAAAGCCTAACTTAAAAAATAACAAAGCGCTGCTAAAGGGGTATATAAAAAAATGCTGTCTATTCTAAAAGCGCTGTCTAAAGTGGGCATAAGAAAGTGCTTTTACATTGAAAAAAAGAGTTGTCTTTTCTTTTAGCAGCGCTGCTTTAGGAAGCGCTGTTAAAAGCCTAAAAAAACGTTATCTTTTCCCTTATTTGTAGTAGTGATTGTCAGTGTAATGACTCTTCGAAATATAGGAAGTATCACAAGTCAATATTTAAGAGGATGAGATCAATTTCCCATGTCTTCATTTTGATGGATTCAAGTTATTGCATCAGTAATCTAATTCTTATATTTCCCTTGTTTCTCTTGCTCATTTGGTTTTGCAGATTTCGAGTGTCTCAATGTATAGTAACTTGATATTGTTATTACTTTGGGTGGCTATGATTATTCTGGTTTATTACATAAAGAATAGGAATACGGAGGTACAAGTCACATATTAAAATAAAATTAGTGATTTCATTGGTTGAGATTTGAATTTAACATTGATGGTTTTTGTGTATATAACATTTCATTTTTTTTGCCGAGTGTTCAAATGGGACATGCTCTGAGATTTCTCCTGTAAATTTTGTGTAGGTTGAAGTTTTTGATCCATTTAGAATTCTTAGATTAGAACTTGGAGCAGTTGAGTCTTCAATAAAGAAAAAATATAGGAGACTTTCTGTTCAGTTCCATCCAGATAAAAATCCCAATCCAGGTGGAAGTTGTTTCTGTTTTTTATTTCCCGTAGTTGCAAACTTTAATGTTTGCAAGAAAATGGGCTTCTTTAATTACCCATGTGTAAATAACATTCATTTTTGTTATTCTTTTTGTTTCAAAGGCAGACAAGTACTTTGTTGAGCATATTGCTAAGGCTTATCAATCTCTGACTGGTCCAGTAGTTTGTGAAAATTATGAAAAATATGGTCATCCTGATAGGAGACAGGTAATAAAACTGAAATGTCATATAAGTGATCAGTGGCTTACTGCTTTTTTGTTTGTGTTTTAAAAATATGCAGTCGGTCACTACCTTGTATTCAGAGTTGGGCTTGTTGTAAGTATATTTTTTTGATGAGATCATATATATCATAGCTTTGATTCATCTATTTAGACTATAATTGAGAGTTCTAAAATATGGTTGGGCTGCACATAAGGTGTTTTACTTTCTTACTTTTTTGGCAAATTCAGTTTGATATTTTTTTCGCAAATGTAGTTTGATGTTTTGATATTATGGTGGAAACCACTCAAATGTACTAATCATTTTGTCTAAAATATTCTTTGCAGGGGAAGTAGAACAAGAAGGAAAGATGTTCAAGAAGAAGAATATTATGATGCATGAGTTTAATTAATAGAAATTTTGTTTTATATTATCTATCTCTTAGAACTTTTGTTTTGAATTTGGAATGTCTCTCTCTAGAGAGAGAAACTTGATTTTGTTTAAGAATGATAATATCAAAACTTATTTATATTTTTGCGACTTATTAGTCATTAGCGTCACTTGATGAGACTTACTTATTTCTTAATGAATATTTTGACGTTATGACTTAATGTTTTCTTGTATAATTAGATTTTAATTTTTCTTCAATATCTACAAAAATGAGTATTCTTGTTGGAAGATATTTTATATTGATTTAAAATGGTTCTTTATACCATGACATGAAGAACACCATTGTCACGACTATACGGCACAAAAAGAAGCTGTGACCTACTTAAATGGTCTAAAACTGTGAACAAAATGTAACCGCGATTTTAATTAGTGGCCATAAACAAACCGTGGCTAAACCTAGGCAACTAAACCGTAGGCTATACATTATATAAGAACCGTGGTTAGATTCGACTATTGTTAATAACCGAGGCGCAAGATAAACCACGGTCTTAACCTATATACCTAAACCGTGGCCTATTCAAGCCACATACGTTTATAAAATGTGGTCAAAACATAAAAACCGTGGCGTATAATTTAGACCACCGCTATATATCCCACATTCACTTATTTATGGCCAAAGCTTATAACCACAATTATTTTGTATATAATCGCAATTTTCTAACTATGGCAGGTGACTTTTTTTTATAGTGGGATGATGAATTTGACAGAAATGGTGATAGTTCAGCACAACTTCTAGCTGCTGTCAATGCTGCAAATAACGCTCAAGCAATTATTACCACTTTGTTGGAGGAGTACGAGAGTGTATTTGATGTAAGAAACTTTCTTTTGATTAATTGTGAGAGCTTAATTTCTATTTACCGGAGATGTTCCATTTCAGCTGATTCTCGAGTTGAAAATAGTGAGACTAAAGACTCGACTGATGACGATAATGTAGATAATAAAGAAAACGGTTACCATGACGCAAAGAATGAAAATTATCAAGACAGATGATGACGTTGATCGTGTTCAGAGTAGAAAGTTAAACGAGAGTAGTGGTTATTGGAAGTCTCCTTAATATTACTTTCTTCCATAGTGTTATTCTGAAGCAAATTATCTAACCAATATGAATGCAAGGGTACTAAAAACAAATGTTATACGTAACATGTTTAATATGGATCAGCAAGTAGTCTTCGTATCTCATGAATTATATTTTGCTAAAATGTTATATCATGAATTCTATCATGCAGTTATACACAATTAAAGGGTTGTATTATTTAAAAGTGAATAAACTAATAAATTGATCAATAGTTGAGTTGGAGGTTACAATATCATTAACAATAGTAACAGGAAACACTATATTTTGATTTAATCAAGTCAATAAATTAACATTCCCTCACTTTTTAATACCCTTTAATAATATGATGAAAATAGATTTGTTGCCATCAAATCATAAATGGAAAACTATGACAATAGAAAGTGTGCTGTTTTACTACTACTATCTACTTGCTTCTTTGCTATATATTGGTTAGATAAGAGAGCTACCATTTAAAATTGAAGAAATGTTGGCAGTGATCTTATGATTACAAGATTGTCCAATGTTCAAACCTAATAAAAAAATAAAATAAAGTTAAACTGTTTTTCTTAATTTTTTTTGCACTTGCAGTGGACATATGGAGAACAAACTAAATTTTTTGTACTTAACTTTTTGCAACAGTTTAAAAACAAACTTAGTTCCTTGTTTGGGACAATTCTACTATTTTAAAAACAAACTAAAGGTTCTACATAGACGTGGTAAAGATGATGTTTGAAGACTTTTAGAATACACTAAAATTTACGTATATTTTTATCACTAACACTATTAATATATTATTGTATTTTAAAGAAACAATGAAAATATAGTTATAAATTTTAACAACTCTTATAAATTTTATCATTAAAATTCATTATTTTTACGGATTACTATCACCACAATACATTTTTTTATTTTAATTAACAAAATAATTGTAAGTATTTATAGTTATTAATGATATTTGTGATTTTTTTTTTTGAATAACCAAGTAGTAAAAAAAAATTCGCAAATAAACGTGTTTCGAAAAAAATTACGTAAATAACCATATTTCAGATGACTCCCCAAAGAAGGAGCCATCTCACTTGGCGCCTACACCCATTATTTAAGGGGAGGCGCCATCTCACTTGGCGCCTATGTGCTTAGGGCATGCCCTAAGTCAAGTGAGATGGCGCCTATGTGTAATTCTAGGGCGAATTTTATTTCTTTTTTTTTCGGTCTGGTGCGTTGCGTATTTGATACAGGATCATAAAAATTGACTTTTTATTAAAAAAAAAAATTACATTCAAATGTATTACATTAAAAAAACAGATAAAAAAAACAGAAAAAAAAACAGATAAATCAGTGATCTCCCAGAACCCGGTAATTACCCCCGGTTCCGCATCCCCGTCCTCGCCTTTCCTGTGCTGGGTGTCGTCGCATTTCCTGCTGTGGCAGGGTCGATGGCCCAGCGAAGTCAATGCGTTCCGGATCCATAAAATCAGTCATATCTCCATATCTAGATGATCCGCTTTGGTACAGTCAGTTACCCATACCCTCAAAGTTTGGTCGTGTTGGCGGTGGGTGGGTGTGATCGGTGGATCTGGAACTGACTGTTTAACGTTGGTTCGCGAAATGTCGCGGAAGCAAGAGTCGCCACCGTCTTTTATTTTCTCCAAATGGAAAGGACAAAAGCACAGAAAAATTCCTTAAAGAGATTGCTCTCGGTTCGGGAGGTAGATTATAGAAAGGGAAGGTGTTAGCACCCTTTCTATCCATGGTTATCCATGGGCTCTTAGATACTTGCTCATTTGTGTTTTCAAAATTGTTTGTTTGCTTTTCAACTGTGGGTTTAAAAAAGTTTCTTTGAAAATTTCAGTTCGACTCTTGTATCGGTCCTCAAGAGTGTTTGAAAAGTTGCTTTCGAAAGCTTTTTGAAAAGGTGTCGGTGTGAAAAGAGTTCTTGATTTTGTTTTGAAATTAGAGCAAGTATCTAGAGTTGTCTACCTACCCTAAGGAATTCGTTTGTGTAAATGTCCTTTAAAGTAGTGCCATCCCACCATTGAGAGGTAGGTAGCACCACCGTTGGAGGTGTTCGGGTCAATTCGAGGTTCGGGACATGGTGATCACCAGAGCAATAGGAAGACACCTTAGAAGCTACCCTCATGCCAGGTTCCCGGATCATGAGGACTTACTAAGACATCCTCTACTCGACGATCACCTTTCGAGGCAAGGTAACAGTGAGGCGTACCCTTGGGGTGGTGTGTGAATTTGTGTGTCATGTTCATTTACATTTATCTTGTTCATGTCGGGTGATCTACGCGTTTGTTTTTACTTTAGTCATTCATTCTTGCATGCAATTATTAACAGTTAAAAAAGTTGCGAGAAATATAAATTTCCTAAGCTATTACAAAGGCGCGGGTCCACATCGCCAAATTTAATCCAGGACCCGATTTGACAAAAAATAAAGAAATAAAGTGTGAGAAATATAAAATGTCCGAGTTACATGGCTTTGGGAGAATTACATTAATATTATAAGAAATAAAATAAAATGCGCGAATTGAACTGAAATTGAAAGCGAGGGCGTTGGACCCTTTTTTAATGAAATTAAATTATTGTGAACAAATTAATTAAATTAAAATGAAAAAAGAAATTATCTTTGAGGGTTTTTGGTATTTATGATTTTTTATGTGAATTAAATGAAATTAAAACCTAGTTCTAGCTATTTTTTAATTTATTAAGAAAATATGAAAATTACCTAAAATTAAACCTCATTAATTAATGCAATTTGATTTATAAAAATAAATAATTAATTATTAGTGAAAAGAAAAGAAAAAGGATAAAAATTGATTAAAATCCTAATTCTACAAATTTTTAATTTATGAAGAAAAGCATTAAACTTAACCCTAGAATTGAAAACTAAATTAAATGATATTATTTATTTACAAAAAATATTAATTAAATAAAATATATTTTGATTTTTGTCTTTTCTGATTTTTTTACTATTTTTTATATTTTATGAAAATAAATTAAATTAAAGAAATTAATTAAAAAAAGAAATAATTGAAACCAATAAAATAAAGAAAAGAAAAGAAATACAATACCTTGGGGGGTTCTGTCCCCAATTGGAGGTCATAACTTAGCAATTCAGGCCCAATAGCCTTTGGCCTGGTTGACTTTCCAGTATTCACGTGTGTGGATGTTGACTGAGACACATCATATGCTCTGAATCCTGGCCTTGGGTTTGATCTTGGTGGCCATGTGGCGCTCTTGGACTATGGAGTGTACGCTGGAATTCTAGGAGCGAGCTACACATAAGCATAATTAGAAAAATAATATGGAAAGGGAGGGGGACCTGGGATTCGAACCCAGGTCCCAGGGATTACCAATCCACGTGCTTGCCAGCTGATCCAACTACGCGCTTTGGTTATATTATAGGAAACAAATAACATAAGGCAAATCAGGAGTTAATGGACAGTTTCAGCGCGAAATTCAAACGATCCAATCATTGGCCTACACTTCATCATCTTCTCCATGGCTTTTGTACCTGAAACAAAAATTACATTTAAATAGCGGGGGTTTTAAACCCCCACTAAATAGCAAGTATGAAAATAGCGAATAGGAGATGCTGGCTCATAAATTAGGCGCGAGGTATGTGTTCAGATCGTCCAAGCATGCTGATTTCAATGGTATAGGTCTCAAGTCTCAATTGTTCCAGAATAAAGAAACCCCAATTCGTGACCTCTGTAACCCTAAAAGACAACAATGGCAACTTTGCGCATGGTGTATAAAAACTCAATCAAACTATGTGGTTAGCTTCAGAATCAATTAATTAGTATGAATCCATAAAAAAATTGCAATGGAAATGCTTGAATAATAAAACACGACTATGCAAAAAGAAGGACACAGTCTGACTTTTGATTACCAATTCTTGATGTTAGGGATGATGATTTTTATTCAAACACGTTCCTTGAAGCCTCGGGAACACAATGGAATGATTGTTTTGCCTTTAATCGCACTGGAAGGTGGTTTTCAGTATTGGACTTTTTTCACAAAAACTCAAAGTTGGCTCTTCTTTTCTGGCGCAGTTTCCAGGTCATGGACACTAGGGTTTGCATGTATATATATGTGTGAGTGTTTTAGGTCAACAAAATAAGCCAAATATCCATGGAATCAATGCTTTTGATTTTGTGATTTTGCATAATCTTTTCAAATCTTTTTTCATGCAAATTTGATACAAATCATGTTCAATTACCTTGATTCTTTCCAAATCTGATCATGCACGAAATATTGAGTGTATTTCATGCATAAAAAGATTTAAAAACTTAGGTTTGGTATTTTTCATATATTTTAATTAATTAAATGAATTATTAGCAATTAAAAATTCAAATAAATAAATAAAAATGATGAAAAACTTCCCTTTGGGCCAAATGGTCGTGCACATGCCTTGGATAATGAATCTTAGAAGAAAAAGAGGCCCATTAGCATTTTTAAGGCATTTGAAGCAAAGTTGACTTTTCAAAATATCCAAAAATTTCCCAACTTCCACAAGGCATATCTTGCTCATTTTTTAAGCTTTGCTCATGTTCTTGGACATTTTGGAAAGGTATTGAAGTCCTCTAACCAATGCCTTTTGTCCCATGTCATTTTGATTTACAAATCTCAAGTTATGGCCTTTGACTTAAAGTCCCTTTTTGTTGACTTTTGAAAATGACCTATAATGTTGAAATTGATAACTTTTTGTGAGAGCATTTATTGGACTTGAAGTGTGAAGAGGAGTTGTAGGAAATGTCTTTCTCTTCAAAATGAGCTTTGGATGGAATTTTTCTGATAATCCATGTGGAAGTTATGCCTTGGTCAAGTTACAGTTGACTTTTTCAACTGTCCAAATATGGAAACTTTTGCATCTTGAGACTTTTTGAGCCATGCTTTGAAAATCATGATCAAGAATTGATCAAATGATGTT